TAATATTTATTATTTTTATTAATATCTTTTTTTATTAAGTTCTATTAATATCTTGTAATATCATAAAGTACTATTTAAATCAACATTATTAATATTTTTATAGTAAAATTCTGACAATAACAATATATTTAAGAATAATTTATTCATAAATCACTATTAAAGAACACGAATCTCGATCGAGAAAGCGGTTAGTTTGTAATGATATGAGGTTCCTGTACTTCCATTTTCATAATAAAAACATGTTATTTTAATGAATTACATTGATGTGATGAATTTCAATTTGAGTAGAGAGGGTTTTTAACTGCTAAGCCTTCCATTAGCATCTTTACAATACAATTAATGAATTACTTTTCCAAATATATATATATATATATATAATCTGTCTCTTTATTTTGATTCGGATTTCAATTGTATTAATTTACAATTTATTTTATTTCTATTTAGAGCTAATCTAATTTTCCTTTTTTTAGTTCTTTTACTGTCAGATTTATTTAAGATACATGCAACCCATGTATCAATTATAAACACGGCCGTACTGCATGCAACGAACAAAATTTTGCCTATCCCATTAATATTAGCAATTAGCAATATAATTAAAGAGAAGCATATTTATTGACTTTTGTGAGAATTCATCACAAGAATAATTATTATGTGTTAAATATATTTTTTGGTGTACATTCCCATAATAATTTTTTATTACCTACAGATATTCTCTTATTAAAGAGAATCCTATTCGAGATATTATTAAGCATTACCTATAAGCACTTTTTTTTTATCGGAAACTCCAATAATAATTTTAATATTATGAGTAGCGTTAGATTTTTTACCGCCCATCCTTGATGGATTGCACAAAACCCAGAAACCCAACTCACAAGTTAGTTATGGTCGATTGAGTATAAATTGGGCTGTTTTTCCCACCTTGAAGACAGGCTGATCGTCACAGATTGAAGTGGAGAGAACAATTTTCTTTAGCATTTTAAAAAGAAACGGCTGAAAGATGAGGATTATATGGCTAATACTGAAAATTAAGTTGATACAAGATGGATCACTAAATGTAAGTACTTCTCAATGAGAATTTGAACCTTATCACATTGTGAGAAAACAACAAGAAGCCTTTATTCCACTAGGTGGGGTTGGTTACATGGATTGCAAGACGTCATTGTGCTCTATCATTTATCAAGCTTTTAGGAATATTATTAATTAAGAGATTGTGTTTAACAACTTTTAAGAGTGTTCTCTTAGACCTTCCTCTACCCCTCTTAACAGGGTTTAAAGTTATATATTTCACTCTTTTCACTGGTGCCTCCAGCGGTCTTCTTTGTATATACCCAAACTATCTCAAACGATTTTTTATCATTTTTTTCTCAATAGGTGTTATCCTCACCTTTTTGCGTACATGCTTATTTTGAATTTTATCTTTACGTATATATCCGCACATTCATCGTAACATTCTCATCTCTACTACTTCAACTTTATACTCTTGCTATCCTATTAGAGCCCAACATTCACTACTATAGTATCTGATCTACACACTGGTCCCAAAAATAATAATAATAATGATATTTCAAGCACCGATAACGTGGGCTGGACCTGATGGGAGCAACACAACCAGAGGTTCCACGGACAATGATGGACCCGTTACGGCGGCCGAGTGTATTCCCAGTGTTCTGAATGATATTGCTGTCGTAAGTGTCATGGAGATGAAATATGAATACAGATGTTTCAATGTTTGGCTACTAATGGAGTGATCTGCAGGCTGCAGCTGATGGAGATTCTTTACCATCTCACTTTCCAGCGTGCTTCAACCTCGAGCTTGCGTGGCTCTTGCATTTGAATATTTACGTTAATTTTTGGATGGATTTTATATGTTTTATATATCTCGCTTGCTTCGTCTGCGTTCTATAGATCCAATAACCAGAATCTCTACTATTTTCATGCTTCAATACTGCTAAGCTATGTGGTATAAATTAAAAAGACATCAAGTCGAAGGCCGATTTAACTGTGATGAAAACGTGCATCTTAACGGAAGAGTTATCTCTAGCCTCTAGGTGAGTTTGGGAGTGATTATGCATACCATATAATTATATATATATATATATATATTGAAGTAACAATTCTTTAGATAGCATTCCGATTCATTCAATTATTGAGGTTAAAGGGTATGTTAATTCCTAAATTATTTCGTGGGGTGAACGAGTACCATAAATTATTTCCTAAAGGAATATCAACTTTCAAGTGTCAAAATAATTGCTGGGGAGAATAGTGTCCTAAAAAATAGAAATTTTCATTTTGGGTCTAATAAATTACGATATTGCACTGCATGCTTGAGGGTCCTTGTTGCAATTTTTTTTGAGAATGAGAGTACAATTTTGCCTTTGTGTGATTTAAAAACTCAACCTACACAAAACCCTCTTCCAAAAATTAAAATATGATATTTATGAATTCTTAACAAAATGTCCATGCACATTCAATTAATCAATAAGTTTAATAAACTGCATAAGTTACACAAATAATGTACAACACAATGTCTATAAATGTACAATATGATATTCATGCATTTTTAATTGAATATTCATGCATGTCAAGTTAATTATTCCATCACTTGCAATTCGTTTCTTTCATTTTGATTAAGGGAAAAATTATACTTTTGCTCTTAAGAAAAATTACAACAAAAACTCTTGGACCTGTATTGCATTATTAGACTTAAAGTGTAATTTTTTATTTTTTATTTTTGGGGCCTGCAGTGTGATTCTACTTAACTGCAATATTATTTGGGATTAATAGATGTTAACGTGCACCATTAACTTTGAATCAACTTTTGATTAAACAGTATTTTTAATACCCTTAAAGTATTCTTGGAGGAATAAATAGTACCCTAAACTTCAATAAAATGGAGCAATTAGGATCGCTATTTTTCGACCGAAACATGTGGCTTGTATAGTGTGTCGTCGCATGACTTGCCAGCTAGATACTCACCAATTAAAGAGTCTAGCAATCTGTACTAATGAGTAATGATATACTAATGATAATGTCACAAGGTACATATCTGTCCACATAGATTATATAGGTGTTCATCTGTCGATCCTGTAATTAGTCAGGGTAAGCATTTATAATTTGTGACAATGCCATTAATTTACGGTTAGTGTGAGATCGCAAACCTTTTTTTTTTTTAATTAAGTCCTTAGATGACAAGCCAAGTGTCATCTATTTCATCCTCCTGCATGTTCTTTAAACTAAAACATTTGCGCATTATGTTTTGACGTTGATAATTAGAATAGAGTGAGAGATTTTTTTTTTATGTTTTTTTTTTGATTGAGAAATGTCTAGTTTGCAAATTATATATAATAGACATATATATAACAGATGACAATGTTTTTGATTCATTATTAATCCGGATTGATAGACCTTTTTTTTACCATTGAATTCTTAATTGGTAAAACATGTGATATTATTTTAAACACAATGTCATGTTTCGATGATAAAAATAATATAACCAATTTTTCTATATTGTTAAATTTTAATATACTAATTACCCTTTCTTGTCCAAAAAAACTACTAATTACCCTTTCATGAACATCATGAATAAGAGAGAGTATTTCAAACATAGAAATGAGGGAGAAACTAGAAGGCTTAGCTTCTTCACGTGTGAATAAAAAGACTTGTCTATATTGACAATTCATAAAACCAACATTCATTCTTTTTTATTGTTTACAGATATCCTTCTATTATATTAAAAGAAATTCTATTTGAGATAGGATCAAATTAAATACTAAATATGCGCATTTTGGTTAATAAAGATTCGATGCAGTTTCATTTTTGAAGGTACATGTGTCATTGTAACACCAGATCACTAACATAGTTATGTCTCTTAGCTAGTTAAAGAATCTTCCAACGCCTTTTCAATATTTCGTCTACTTTTCCACTTTTTACTTCAATTTACTTGTTTCAACATTTTAATTTCCTGATTTTAAATTTTCTATTTAAAAATAATTTTAGTGGACCTCATTTATTTACTTGTAAAAGGTGCTATTATTTTACAGCTTCCATAAATATAGTTAAAAAGGGCTTCTTCTTTTTTCACAACTTCCATAAATATAGTAATCGATCATATTAAAAAAAAAAAAACTCTAGCTCCTGAACAAAAATCTCAAACACGCGCACGCACACATGTTCAATTCCTCAGAACACGAAGTAGTACTAAACGGGGATAAGTTTTTGGGATCTGTTGTTCTGTCTCCTTTACATGAATTAATTGAATGGAATTATGAAATTAAAGACCATTAAGGAACTAACCAATTTAATTAGTTATATATCTTACACAGACACATGTATAGGTGATTTAATTAAAAATGGTTTTGTTTAATATTAAATCTGAATTATGTTGAGGAAGCTGCAACAATTTTTCATTTACAATTGACGCGTGTTTTTTTAAAATTATATCCTACACGTTCTTTCTATTAAGGAGTTACATTTACTTATTAATTATAATTATATTTATATATGTAGAAATTTTTGTTTATTTATTTTTAAAATTTTGATAGATATTTTTATGAATTTAGTAAATATTAACGATTATTTCTTTTATAATTATTAATACCCATATTAAATATGCATAAAGATCTGCTGCTCCCGCGCGTCCTTGATAGTGTTGCCATCTGATCAGTTAGTAGTTTTCCTCTTGAAAATTATATTGATTCACATGCATCACATACAAATTAAAGACTGATTTGCACAAACCATGCGAGTATGGCGTAGTGGTTATCTCACTTCGTCTTTTAAGCATGTGGTGGGGGTTTCAATTCCTCACTCATGCGAATGGAGAGTACTTTATAGCCAGCCGTTTGCTCCCTTGTGGAAGACCTCGCGGCGAAGGGAGTAATCACTGCTACCGAAGATGGATACTCTGGGCAACAAAAAAAAAAAAGACTGATCATGCACAAATGGAGGCAATTCTGAAACGTTGCAGAGCAGAGAGAGAGACACACTACTCTTGAACCCTATTAAATAAAATATTTATTTATTATTAATAACATGAAAGAGGAGGATGAAGATCCTCCTGTGATTACAAAGCACACAGACTATATATATGTATATATTAATTAAAGGAGCAAACCAGTAATTAATTGTACAGGGCTATAGCAGCACCACCCTTTCCATAAGTTATCGTTCATTGTTCTTTATGATTATTATTATTCCTTAATACAGGGCCTAGCATAATATCAGCTTATTACCAATATCTGTTTCGGGTGGAGGAATCAAGGCCTCCATAGACAATGGAGCCGTTACCGTTGCCATGGACAGTACCACTGTTATGGATGAGGTTGCCACCGTCGTTGTAGTAGCGAGGATATACGTTGCCGTTGCCGGAACAAGCGCCGTTATTGTAGTTAACGTCTCGGAACTGTTGAGAACCAGATCCACTGTTGGTGAATGAACCTTGAGTCCCACTGTTGTGGCCTCCGTTTGACGTTCTTGCCTGACCCTGCCCTTCATTTCCCATCAGGGCAAGAAGCCTTCTCATCATCACAAGCTCCGATTCCATTTCCTAATTCTTTATTTCTTTGGATGGCCTTGATCGATGCTTCGTCTCGCTTGCTTCGCCTGCGTTTTATAGATGCAGTAACAAGAATCTCTACTTTTTTCAGGCTTCAACGCGAAGTTTTTATGGTATCTTTTTTCTTAATCATTCATTCAATTACATTTCTCCGGTTCCATCTCTCCAATCGCCACCATGCAACATAGCTACTGTTGTCTTTGGAATTCATTATGAAATTACAAAAGTTAGCTAATCGTGCAACACGTTTTGCTGTATGTATTCCTTCTCTGAGTGCCTTTTCTTTTTTTGACACTCCTATTCTCTATTGATAGTTTTTTATTTCAACAAGAAAAGTTCGTAAAGTTGGTAATATGGGCTAGGTTGCGAGTTTGACAAGATGAGCTAACATAACCTGTATCCTGATAGGTTGTATTTCTACCAAACTACAAAACTCACCAGCAAAACACATTTTTTTATAATTTTTTTTAATTTTAAAAATTATAAATTTACCTCTTTTTATTATTCTTTGCAGTAGAAAAATCATATATTTTTCCTAAAAATTAATTATCAAAACAATAATAAAAGTCCTTCTAAATCATTAAAAAACACAACACAGATCTAAAATACATTAATACAATTTAAAATAAGTATATACTTCATCACAAACAAATGTAGTAAAAGGTTAAAATTACAATTCAAAACTTAAAGATAAATTTTACAATGAAAAAAACTCACTAACACAATAAGCTCCATAACACCCCATAATGAAATGGCCAAATAATTGCAGAAACAAAAAAAAAAAACAGGGGAAGGAAGATAAATTTTGTAATGAATTATATGACTAGGAGAGGGGGCAAAATAATGATGACCCAAGAAGATATTAGATTTGGAGCATAAAACGTAAGCTCTCTGTCAACCTGTTTTTATTTATTTTACGACTATACACGTATTTTTTTTTTTTTTGGATTAAGAATTCCTTTCCAAGCTCAAGACATGTGAAAAAGCAAATTGTTTTCAAGTATAATTTTTATATCAAATCTTTATTTGGACAACATAAAAATATAGTATTATGGTTTGATATATTTAAATTCTCTCTGAGCAGTGTGTTTTTATTGTTTTCTACTATAATTTAAAGTATTGAATTAAAAAAATGCATTAATATCAAGTACTTGATTGCAATTCCATACATACTTACTCTAAATGCTTTACTTTAAATTCAATCTTATTCATTTATTTTTTGGATTTTTTTTAAATATAAGTAGGTTAACCTATCAACTAGCGGACAAACCTGCTGTAGGTTTAAATTATGTGGTGCAGGCCAACAATCATCTAAATGAATCCATTTTCTTCAACCTACTTTACTATTTTTTTTTATAGGCTAGCAAGTTGAACCATACCAGCCCTAGAGGTTTGGAAGAATAGAGAAACATACAAACAAAAGGGAATATTTTTGACAGAGGCAAGTAACGCTATAGTCTCTTTGTTTCTATTTGTAGGAGAGAAAAAAATTATATCACATAGTTTAAGAAAATTAATTAATTATATTAATTGTGTTTGAAAATAAAAGAATTAAATTACAATACTCTTTATTAATTGTGTTAATTAAGCCTTCATTAATTGTTTCTTATGATGAAAAATGATAAAATTATGAGGGATAATTTAGGGAGTTTGCAATAAATGCTTATTAGAAAATGTAATTTTTTTATATAAAAAAATAAGTTAAAAGTGATAATTTTTTTTATAAATAAAAACAGAAGGAATGTTTATGTAGCAGCGAGATGGAATTAATGGATAAAACTTTTGACACAGATGGGCTGCATATACATATATATGAGATGTCTTTCATATATATCATATCCGTCTTTATGATTTATTTGCAAGGATAAAATATCTAAGTTAAAGTGTTCATTTTTATATAAAGTTTCAGATTAATTCTTTAATTTTATAAAGCATTCAGTCCCTCTTACCTTCTGTTAATTTTAAATGATTATCTTTTTTATCAATTATTGTTATTTTAAAAAATTAAATTTAATATGTCAACCTTTAAAAGTTTAATGTAATAATTTTTTGAAAATAAAATTAACTGCATTAAAATTAAAAAATAAAAATTAATCATTTGATTCTTATAGTTTTGATTTTGTTATAACTCAATCCCTGAATTTAACTCATTGTAACTCTTGGCCTTTATAGTTTTAACTCAGTAGTAACCCAGTCCCTAAATATTATCTCTTGCAATTAAGTCCCTATAGTTTTATCTCCTTAAATATTGGTACCCATATTTCAAATAAATTATAAAGATTAATTTTTTTAATATTTATAATATTTATAAATTACTAAATTTTAACATATTTTTAATCTTTATAATTTATGTTTTAAAACATATGGACCAATATTTAAGGGAATGAAACTATATGAATTAAATTACAAAAAGTAAAGTTCAAGGATTGAATTACAATCAAATTAAAACTTTAAAAACTAAATTATAAGAAGTCAAAATTTAAGGATTGGGTTACAATTGAGTCAAAACTACAAGAATGAAATAATTAATTTTTTCTTAAAAAAAAAAACTTTAGATATAAAATTAAGGTATCAAAATAAAATTATGTATAAATTAAGTTATAGAATTAAAATTTCACGTTAGCCAAACATTAAAAATGTTAGCCCCTTGCTTTTTAGCTTTATAGCTGAAATTCTTGCGCGTTTAATCGGTTATTAATTAGCAGTTTAATGTATAAGTTGTTTTTAATTCCATAAAAATGGAAATTCCTTGCTATATCACTTTTACATCAACGAATCGGCTGCTGAGGTAGTGGGTCACATTGTTGTGAGGTCAGTCACACACGAAAACATTACATAAGAAGTTTAAAGTTTTAAATTAAATAATTTGTAATAATTTAGAGCTCAAACTAATATCTTCCTTTACCGGCCAGGGAATAAATGAACCTTTTGACAATATCCGTTCTTCACTTATGATATTTTAACTTTATTGGTTTCAACGATGTTTAATTTCCATAAAAGCATATGATGCCTTATTTCATTATATTTTTTTAAGTTAGATTCTTATATCTGGTTAAAAAAAAAAAGAGTTAGATTCTTATATAATGGAGGACAGATTCAATTAAAAAGGTCCGGTCGTCAAATGAAAGAATATATTTCTATAGGACAGGCCATGTAAGGAATTAGGAAAAGGTTATATGCCTACAATAATTATAGGGTGTGGACTATGGAGGATTATTCTTTTTTCTGCATCGATTCACTTAAAGAAACTTGCTTTTTTAGGTTCATCCATATCCGCCATGTCAGGTATTTTTCTTATTTTGGCAAAAAGGAAATTGTAGAGTTGAATATCATGGCTTATGAAGATTAGGCCATGAGGACAAATCTCAGTATTGACATATTGCTTTTAGAAGCAATTATGTATAACTGAGTTAACGAAATCTCAACAATGGCATGCATTTGTACTGCAGAAAAGAGGGGATTGAGCCAAATCTATGTATATAAAAGGAATCGAACTTGACGATGAAAAAGATCGTCATCGACTCATTGTCATGATTATTTAACTTACAGATAGATGATGATCTGGTGTACGTCATCAACCTTTTTAAGTTACACGTCGGCTTACCATCCAGCTTTTACTTTACGTTTACTTTATACCACTGGCTACGTCATAAATTCATTTGGTTGCATTTACTTTATTTTGCTTTCCTAGCTAGTTTGCATTAGTTAGTTCATCATCACTTGGTTTAGGTTCCTATTAGATTTAGGACAAACATGTTTATTTCACCGTCAATTGATTGCATTATAATTACTTTTACAGTATCCTCCATCATAAATGTTGCAGTTTATCAATTCATTCTATAATTTAACTTTGATGGTATTGTCTTTAAATTATTGCATTCTATAGAAAAAATCGTGGTAATTAGAACTCTGAGATTTCATAATCGTCTAAGTTTTGTCATTTATTCATTCTGCTATGCTATATCTTTGGCACTCCATTTCATCAAGTAATTAGTATAATCATGGCAATAGTAGCCAACACAATAAAACCATTAAAAAAACTTATTTGTTTTAAGATTCATGCATGAACATAAAAAAATACTGATGTGTTTTCCCATTTGATATTATTTCAAAAAATAATTGTCAATAATTCCAAATTATTCAAACTTACAACGTATTTATTCTGTTGAAAGATTTTATCCGTTTATACTCCAAGCCCTCCAATAAAAATAAATGGGAAAATTAAGCCCCCCTTGTAGAGTTTCATCTAATTTTAAATCAGCTCTTTATTATTTATTTTAATTTCTTAGAATCAGCCGCTTATACATTCTACCGTCAAATTTTGCCATATGGAGGATGATGTGGCTAAAAGGACTTCGACCAGATATTTGAAGAGAGCATGATCGTGCTTGAGATCTAGCTGAGTTAGTGTATGTCTCAAAGGAAAAGTGGAGCAAGGACACAAAGTTAAGCAAGCAAGAAAGAAAAATGGGACGTTAAGCATGCAAGAAACATATAGAAATGTAACTAACAAATGTTAATCTAGTCAATAACGATTTGATTCGTAGCCCACAAGGTCATAGGATTAAATTTCACTATCAATAAAAATACTTTGTTAGTGGATAATCTATAAGCGCTCATTAAATTTAGAGGCATACTTGATCCTTAGTATTTTTTAGGGACCCAACTCACTGAAACTTTTTTCTATAAAAAAAAAAAAACAAACAAAGAAACCATGTAGGAATGTTAAGTTAGAGTGAAAATAAAATCATACCAGTTAATTTAATTTTTTAAGTGTTCTAAACTGTTTTACTACTGAATGTGCAATTTTCAGTTGTTGAATGTAATTTGTCTTTCTAAAAGTTTTACGATCAGATTTACATATAATTTCAATATCGAGTTTCTTAAAAAGTGTATAGAAAAATCATATAGTTTAATTGAGCTTTATCGATTTCAATCAAAGTAGTCAATAGTAAAAAACTTATAAAAGAGAAAGTGACAAATATTTACCACTAGAAAAGAGAGGGGGAAAAAAAACCTAGCTTGGTTGCCT